CTCGGCGAAAAACGTTGAAGTGTGACGGGAAAACTTCACCAGAGGTAATGGAGCTGTTTAACCATGACTCGGTGCCTATCACAACATCATGATTTTTCGTTGCCAGGACTGCTTCCAAATCAGGAATCTTAGACTTAACACTACGACAATTCAAAATGATAATTTTCAAGTAAGTCACTTTTGTTTTCTTAGTCTTGGTATTCTTTGTCTTATGATTCTTCTCAGCTTTCGGGCTAGAAGTCCAAATAGGGTCACACGGCATAGACAACTTAAGATCATCCAAATTACTAGAGTTGAGGTTCTGAGATCCATCACTCAACATATCAAAGCTATTTGAGATTTCAAGTCCACAGAGACTTACAAGGAATGTAGTTGAAAAAATTGGCATCCCACAATTATTACACGACCAGGAATAAGATGGGTGGTTATTCAAAACATTGTACATGTCTAGGTGTAATTTTTGCCCTACCTGACGTGGAAATCTACCGAATACTCAATAAATTTGAAAACAATTTCGCAATTGTTTTCAAATGTGAGTATTCGGTACATTTTCACGTCAGGTAGGGCAAACATTACACCTATACATGTTTCTCCTGACGCAAATCCAGTTATTGTCTATTATTCCATCACGATAATAACAATTACTATCATTGTACATGTCATCATCCATATTGAGGCAAGATGTGTGGTACCAGCCATTACAATGCTCACACTCGATGGCTTTTTGGCCCCATTTAGCAGCTTTATTACATATTTGGCAAGGATACTTCGGTGTTGGGCCGGGGTTGAGTTCGATATCTCCGGCAAGTAATGCAAGTAGACAAGTTAGTACAGAATGGTTTTTCCCAAAAACGTAATATTTTAGAATTTTTGGCTGGCTTACAAAGGAAAAAATGGAACAAACTCACCAGATTCGTAATGGTGATATTATTACTAACAGGGCAAAAATGTAGGCGGGGGGGGGTCCAATGATGTTTGATCAAAGATTGATTCACATTATTAATGTCAATATCCACCCTATGAACAGTCGGGTAAAAATTACAACAAATGGCAGGGTAGAACAATCTCTCCTCAGAAGATACTTTGTTGCAAAAGATTGCACAGAGTATGTGAATCACACACAAGTTCACTACAATACTCGACGGAATCACATGTAAAAATCCAATATGGCCTCGAAGGCAGATCCAGTATAAAAGACGAACTCTCAGAAGCCAGTTAAAAAATTTATTCAAAATCAGACCAAAATAGCTAAAATAGCTCCAAACACGATCCAAAGGGAGAATATGAAACAGTATTGATTATTACTGTTATGCTGTTTAATAATTTGCTGATTGATAGTTCATGAATATTCAAAGTTTGTTTTGTTACGTTACCTACAGTTTTACTCGACAGTGACAATAGGACAAAAAAGTACAAGGTACAACTGCCAACCTGTGTTTGTTGCATTTTGTACTGAAGAATTTACAGACTGAATAGAGGGCACTATTTCCTCAAGGCCAGTACAGGCATGAAGCGTACAACATAATCACCATACTCGCTCGAATAAGCGCCCCGTTTGAATAAGTTTGAATTCAATCAATCCTGGACTGTGGATTTTGGCATGATTAGAGATGTGGAGTGGAATCACATTCTCCCTTAGACAATATCAAAATGAGAATATTTATCTTAATGGACAGATGAGAGCTCCCTGGACAGACAGTATATTTCCAACATTTATCATCTTACATTTTCCTGCAGCCTGGTCCTTCCTGCTTTTCCGATTTGTACCTAGCCTAACACATTCTTATCTGAGTTTTCAAGAAAACCTGCAATGATCATGCCATCTTGTTAATCTCAATCTGTTAATGTTATGTGATACTACTCACAACATTCTTGTCATGACAAGTCATACGCTTTGAACGATTATCTTTTCCACCGTACCACCATTTGTAATTTGTTTCCTGATGTCCTTATATAATCGTTTTTCATTCAAAATGTTCCTCTTGAATTTAATAAGTTCTCATAAGAACCCCTCGATTTTCATTTATTTCCACAAGCGCCCCCTCATTTTTTCACTCTGTTTTGATAAGCGCCCCGTTTGAATAAACGCCCCTCAAAAGGTGCAAAAAATATTTTAAGCGCCCGGGCGCTTATTCGCGCGAGTACGGTAAGGACTAACACGGCATGATTGCTTCGAAATCACCGTCCCAAACCAAGTGTATCTTTGGCACTGCTTTGCCTCTAGGCCTACTACATAGGCCGAGGAGGCTATGCTTCGTTGGCTAAGCCTTATTTATATGCTGGCGAAGACTTTTTTTATTTTTCATTATCCATATGATTTTATAGCAATGACGATATAGTACAAAATGCATCCTGCTGCAGACCGGCAGCGAGACGAAGTCAGCCAGACAGTATAAAAAGCAGCAAGGCAGCACAAAATCGTTACATGTAAAAGAATAGCATGGGCTATGATCGACTACGTTTTTGGTTGCTGCCCTCTACAGTATTTGAACGTCAGTTTAATTTCAGTTCTTAAAGGTTTCTCAATTATTGTCTTGTGTTTCTCGAAATTCATAGTTTAGTAGTGAAGATTTAAATTAATGATTCTAGTGATGATCGCGCACTGTAATAATAATGGGAGTCCGACCTTAAATGTAGCGAATAGAAGCCACAGGATTGTTAGTTTTAAGAGCCCTCGGATGGCCGTTTTTCGAAATGGGTTTCTTAGAAGATTTGATTTTCCTTAAGAGAAGGCTCCAAGATGTCAATGCTGTAAATAGTTGTTGGCGCTCTACAATATGGACAACGTATATGATTACTGTACTGAAGACATTTTCAACCATGGTATTATAAATTTGTTTATTTTTTTTTAAATTCACATCATAGTATTTACAATCAACATGTCAACGACAATTAAACATTATTAAAAAACAAAAGCTTTAATATAATGTGATCATGAAATAAGGCTAGGTCTTTGTATAGTTTCAACGTGTGTACATTTGTAATTTACATTAATTAGCCTATAAACAATTTTCAATCATCTAATGAATTTATATAGCTGGAGTAGCCTCAAATTAATGCAACCCTGTCAAAAAGACTTAACTTCTTCAACTGGAATGGCCAAGCCAAAGTAGGCCTACCGTTCGATTATAATCCTGCGGGAATAGTATGTTATAATCATCACAAATGCGGATTCGACGTTTTCGTGAAGTTGGTGGGGGTGTCCTCTCCGGAGAAGTTGTGCTCCCTTGAAGCTCAGATATAAAATTTCCAGCATTCTTAGGGGTATGGGAAAGAGTGTAGATTTCAGGGGTGGCGCCAGTGGGGTCCGGGGGGCAGGGCCCCTCGCCGGGGAGAGAAGAAAAAGAACTATGCGTCGGAGAGAAAAAGAAATTCTATGTATTTTTTTACATATTAGTAGACACTAAAATCGATTTTGAAACCCTTGAATTGTCAAAATGCTGTCTCTTATACACATCTAGATGTGTATAAGAGACAGATNNTGGTAAACCGAGGTACTTAGGCCTACTAAGTAAACGCCTGGGATTCGAAATCTAGCGGCCGGAAAAACTGTAACAACATAGATCATCAAAGGCTCAATCTCCCGAAGTGAATATCAATCCATCTTTTTAGATGAATAGGTAAATAACTTTTTGTTGAGGATTTTTGTGTGGCATTTATTCAAAAGAGGCTATTTTTCAAGGGAGGCGTAAGTGGATTTGGATATACTTAAAAAAAATGCCCCTTAAATTCACTCTAAATGTGGGACTACATCACATTAATAGAATGTGTTGAGAATGATGTTCTTTCCTAGATTTGTTTACAGTCAATTAGGGGAAGGAGGAAAGAACATTTTTTCAAAGGAAAAATAAACCCTCTACGGAATAGAACATTAATAGAATATGTTAAGAATGATATTGCTTTCACAGGATTTTTATACAGTCATTCGGGGAGCGGGGAGGGGAGAAAGCTTTTCCGCAAAGAAAAAATGAAATGAACCCTCCGGGACGTTTATTCGAGGGAAGCACTCGTTACAAATAAGGCTCCAACGGGGGCGTTTATGCGAATAAATTAATACGGTAATTAATATGTATAATTCCTTGTGATAAACCAAATATTACTATACAGTTTTTTGTTGTTGACAGTTTCGCCTATTTATTAGGAGAAATAACGCTACAATGAATAGAGACGAAGGGCCACATCGCCTCTCACACCTGTATGATCAACTGTTAAAGACGGCTAGAGCGGCCCGCTACCAACGAGCATCGGCGGAAACCCTTTACAGATTATGACGAAGCCTGACTGATAGCCAGGCGAAACGGTCAACAACAAAAAAGACAGTGAGTAATATTAGTTTATCACAAGGAATTATACATATTTATTGCTATTTGAAACCAGATGAAACTATTTACCCATTTAATACGGTAATTGTTTTGTGGTTTTAAATGGAACGCCAAAAGAGCAATATTAATTGTACGTACTGAAACACAAAAACGGCTACTCTCAAACACAGTCGATTTTCAAGCACGCTTGGTGTCCACTCAGTCGGTTAACACATTCTATATTCTTCAAGCACAGTCGGCTTTCGGTTTCTCAATGACTTACAGTAAAACTTTGCTTTAGCTGCCCATGACTAATGCTGTTCTGATTTTAGTGATTTATAAATATTTTTATGTTATAAAGAATTATATGAAACTGCTATCAAACCTGTACCTGAACTTAACTCTAATGTTTGGTAAATCTTACTGCATTTCTGACATTACGCAAAGAAAGTTACTGAATGAGATATCATGCAACATGCAACCTATCTTGTTTTAGTGGTCATATTGTTCTTTTTAGCTTCACACACTAGAGGGTAAGCACAATAATGATAACAATAACAATAAAAATATATACTAATAATGAAAATAATGAATATACATTAGATGATAACGTTAACATTAACAGATAAACATACATAACATAATATCATTACATTATTAAAATTATTTATTTCAATTGGCTTTAACAAAAAAAATTACCTCTAACAAGTAATCGTAGTATAGCGTGTTGACCCAAGTGTCGTTGTCCTTCCGGATAGCACTCGTAGATACCAGCGTCTTTTATCCGTAGGTTTTTAAGACTCACGTTGCTTAACCCGTCCCACTCCATGATATCAGATCCTCCATCTTTTTTCCATCGTAAGCTACCCTCATCAACACCATTAAGACTCATTACCAGATGAACAGTTTCGCCGATACTGGTTGTAATAGTTCGGTGTTCTGGTAAAACCGTGGCTAGAAGAGTAACACAATTATTTAGGTACACATTAGTTTAGTTTGATATAAAATTAGCATAAAATCTGTGATTCGAAGAATGGATCTCAGCGAAGAAAAATACGTTTATCTAAACAAAAAATCATCTTTCGATTATTCAAGATTCAAGAGATCATTTATTGTCAATTAAATATAACAGAATTTAATTTAACAGATATTAAAAGTGTGCAATTAGCCCAATTTTTTAAATTTTCAAACATATGTAAAATCGATTTCATATGTAAAAGTTCGATTTATTCTTGTGTTTGGTACTATAAGCCTGCCACTCGGATTACAACAAATTGACAACTAAGTGGGTAAATTGACTCATTCATAATAAAATTCGTAGTCTTTAATATTCTATTATTATATAATTGATTTATACCGGTTAGATCATCCTTAATTATAATGTCTGCTCTATTTGTAGTGCGGGAGAAGTCTTGTACTTCTGATCAAGACTTCTATAAATACAGACAAGACTATACAAAAGTACACTTTGTATCATAGAATAATTATATAAAGTTAAAAGCTCACAGTTTATACTGTGGAAGTTCATTTTCGTCAAGAAAGTTTGCCAGTGTTTGTAGCCCATATAACATTAAAAACACAGCCTAAAATATTTTTATACATTTAATCTTTAAATTTCTCTACCATCAATAATGACTGAGTAGAGGATATTACACTTAATAGTTCCTAAAATCAATAAATAATAATTCTTTAATTTTAATTTCATTTCATTTAAGATTATTTTCTTTGCTTTAGTTTACAAAGTCGACCACCAACTTTCTATACATAGTTTCATTTTCATTATTTGTATTGCCGTATCGTCCACATATTTTATTACAGAACATGACTCGTTACAATTTCTAAAATCATCAGTGAATAAAGAAAACTGTATAGCTGATGTAACAAAACCATGTGAAATGTCAACATTTAAAACCCGCTCATTAGAAACATTCCATTTACTTTAACAAACTGCGGTCGGTTTTTAAGTAAGCTAAATAAAAAATGTGCCACACTTGGGTTGATATCCATAAGTAGCTCAGACACTATAGTATTGAATACACCTGGAAAATCTACAAAAAGTGAACGCATAATGATTTAGGAGTATCTAGGTGATTACTTATTTTATCTAGTAGAACAATCTTCAACACTTCTTTTTCTTTAGTAAGCACTTGTAGAGTATCCCAAAATGTCTTAGTTTGTGAAATAAAATTGTAAGATTAAGTCTTTCAAGACACATTATCACATTAGATGTAATGTCGATACTACTGTAATTTTTAAATATGATTAGTATCTTCACTTTGGGAAGTAGTGAAATAATTGTTGTCTTCCAAATTACAACTACAGTAACGCAACCGAGATTGTTGTAAAATAATGTGGTACAAACTCCTTCAGATTTTCAGCACACGGGATACCATCTGGTCCAATATTTTTTTCATATTAGCTCATGGAAAAAAAAAACTCTAATAACATTTTTCTTTAGACGATGGATATCTATTTACCTCACTAAATTTAGGCAATAAATAATTTACAGGTATCTGACTATTTAAATTATTAATTTATTCATTAAGATCAAGAATCATTGTTTGTACCATAAATATTTTTAGTGCTTTTATAACCTGTCAATAAATTTTAGTCATTCCATGCCTCTTTTGCATTATTTTCTTTAAATTTATTTTCTATTACACATTTGAATTTATACATATTATTACCTCCACTAAGGAGGTTGTTTTCAATTCTGTTTATTAGTTTTCCTGTTTGTTTGTTTACTTGTCTGTTTGTGTGTTTGTCTGTGAACAGCCTACAGGCCACAGTTTGTTTGTTTGTTTAATGGTTTCTCTAACACTTCAAATAACCATAACAATATTAATTTAAAAAAGTGATAACAATATAATAAGAATACAAGGTTACAAAATCGGTGTAAATGCAAGTGGAAATAACAGTTATAGGAAGTGTGGAAGGAGGTCAAAATAAATTTAAAAAAAAAGACTTGACCCCCTGTAAAAAACCAGAAGATGGTACATAAAACAATTTTTATCAGAAACTTCTCAAATTTGGTCATAATGACCCATGACCAAAGATCTGAAGGTGATTAAATTTTGAAGGGTGATGGTCACAGGCCAAGGTCACAATCGACGAAAAACTATTTTTTACATAAAACAGCCTAGCCAACAATTTTTATCGGAAATTTGCAAAACAATGTTCTATGACCAACAATCTAAATATGATATTTTGAAGGGTCGGGGTTAAAGTTTAAAGTCACAATTGACGAAAATCTACTTTTTTAGACGATTAAAAATGTTGGTTAACTACATGTGCCATTACATTATATCATGTTTTCCAGCATTTCATCTTAAGCAACCTTTGACCTGAAATAATTTGAAAAAACTACATCTGGTAAGCTTCTCCATCATATTTTAATAATAAACAATTTTTGTAGCATGCATAATGAGGACAAAGATTTACCCCGGTATTCTTAAAACGAACTTTAGTCGTAGTTCGAGCTAAAACTTTAAAATTACGTCATTTTGTATTCTTAAAACGAACTTCAACTAGCACTACGACTAAATGACGTGAACCTCGACTAAAATCATACCTCCGCAGGCCGATTTTTTTTAGTCAGCCTAGGGTCAGGCTAAATCGCCGACTTGAAATATTTACCCCAAAAAAACGTGTTTTTTGTAACTCATGATAAAATGAAACGTAATAAAAACGATTGTATACGCGAGTTTGATATATTTTCGGTGTTTTAAACAAAAGAGCCATTAAGTTTAGCTTCCAGAAGCAGAAATTAACAGTCATGTTTTGCTAGCCATGGGCGATAGTTCCTGATTTGCACGAAATCCCCTCGCGTTTCGATCACGTAGCTTCCAATAACAACAACAAAGATGGCGCCGCCCTCGCTCAGGCTCAACTATAATAGTTCTCCAAAGAAAGCAAATTTTCAGTGTCTGTTCAAATTCTCTATTGTAATATGTTAACAACTAATATATTTATTATTTTAGAAAATTAATTAATGGAATGATGGTCTATTATGTATTATGAGGAAATACGTTTTTGAACCACAGACGGCAGCCTAATATTCATCCGCGTTACCGGATCTCTAAAATTCGTCTGCTATTAAAGTTAGCCCTTTTCATTGGTTAGTTTGATAGTCGTGGCTTGCCAGTCGTTTTCAGTTGAACTAAAACTAGGACTTGATTTAGTCGTAGTTAAAACTTCGACTACATTGTTTGTGAATACAAATTGAAGGTAAAGATGCAACTAGCACTAAATGAAGTTCTAGTTCGAAGTTCGACTAAAGTTTGTTTTAAGAATACGAGCGAAAGGCCTACTATCAAAATTAATATTTGACCTTAAATGTCCTCTAACCCCTCTCAGACTTTCAAAAATAGACTCTAACTTATCTCACACTTCACAGAATAAAAGCTAAAAAACGTCATAAAGCTAAAAAATGTCACAAAATGCACGAGTTGGTCATTTTGTCGGTCTTAGCTCCTATTACATTTGTTGGTGAAGATGTCATGTTTTTATGTTAAATTTGTGGAAGATGATTGTTATTACATTTGTGGGAGTTGTTTGTTACATTTGTGGGCACTGGTTGTTACATTTGTGGGCATTATTACATTTGTGGGCGGTGTGTTGTTACATTTGTGGTTGTTATTTCATTTGTGGGCATTTTCACATTTGTGGTTTCAACAGGGTTCCATGTCTCCGAACACTTTAACTCTCCTGTCCACTCCATTGACAACAATTTCCAATCTCTCGACCATAGAAGACGCTCAGAGCTCAAACTCATTATCAAATTCAATACTCACATTTTAGGCCTTAATCGTGACATGGTTATTCTGAGTGATTATACATTCACACACACTTGACTTTCTTTTTCATATCACCGTATTCCCGTCTCACTTATCACTATTTTTGTACACCATGTTACATTCCATATTACTTTATTTTATAATGTTATATATAATTTTAACTTCTCTGCAAAGACGTTACCAGGGTCCCTGATGAAGGAGACTGAGAAGAGATGGACACTGTCATTGGGGGTGACAGGGTCGTCATCAAGCAAAATCCTCAACACGACAAGAATAGGAACTTGGAATGTATGAACCACATTACCAAATGGAAAATTAGAGAATGTATTAAAGGAGATGGAAGAAATGCATTTAAAAATATTAGGAGTGAGCGAGGTACGGTGAAAGGAAAGTGGAAACCTAGTCTATGATAGATACATGGTAATTTATTCTGGAGGAATGAGACAAGGTGCAAAAGGAGTAAAAATAATATTTAGCAAAAAAAAAGCGCAACGAGAGTGTCTGAAGTTAAGTGCATAAATGAAAGGGTAATAGTAGCAAGGTTTCAAGCAGAGCCGGTTGATTTAATTATAATACAAGTTTACCGGTTTATGCCAACATCAAAACCTGAGTATGATGAAGAGGTTGAACAGTTGTATGACATTTTAGAGGAAATAATTTATACGTAAAAGGGAAGTACTAACATTGTATTAATGGGAGACTTCAATGGTTTAATTGGAGAAGGAAACCAAAAATGTAATCTTATTGGAAGGTATGGTCTTGAGAAAAAAATGCAAGAGGAGACTTATTAGCCGATTTTGCTGAAAGACTACATAATGGTGAAGCGGAGATACAGGAATAGCCATTAAAAAATACCATGATACTTACCCAGGCGCAGATGTGAATTCTGACCACAACCTACTAATACAATAAAAACATCAAAAATTCAATTGAAGATCGAAACCGAATAGAGGAAAGAAAGTCAAAAGATGGAATGTAACCGCCCTTAACAACGTCAACATCGTAAATAGATAAACCAGTCAAATTGAAAAATGCATAGGCCTAAAGCCGACAGAAGATTTTACACATGTGAAGAGCATTGGGACAGATGTGAAGAGCATTGGGAACCTGAAGCTCTCGCCACTTCAGGTTCGGTCAGTACTGTATTTGCTGAAGTAC